GGGGGGGGGGGGGGGGAAGAAGAAATGAGATTATGTTTTGATTTTAGGATGAAATTATAAATTGGAATGAAAATTATTAATTAGTATTTAATTAGATATAAAAAAATGTTTTAAATTATTAATTAAAACCTGATTTTTGTAATATGAAACTTGATTCAGGATTTATGAAATTGGTACTTCAAATCTAGAGCTATGTGTAATTTCCTCTTATTTATTCACGTATTTCAAGAAATTTATAAGTAGTATTATTTGCCAATCACTCATTTATATCAATTTATAATTTAAATCGTTTATAAAAACTCTCCAAATATGCTTTATAGACAAAAATACCAATTAAAAACACACATCTTGCATATGTTTGTTAAACTTATAAGTTATTTATAATTTTCTCATAATGCAAAAGTAATTGTAATACGAAATATTTTAATAATATGTAGATATTAATTTTGAATTTATGTTTAATATTAATGTTTGACTAGAAATTATAAGTCACTATTTATCCAAATACATGCCTTATTTAGCCCTTGTTGGCGAGAGAACGCGAAATCGTCTCCACCCAGTTATTTTTAAATCGCAATAAAATTGAGCTCAACAACAATATTTGTTCGTGTTTGTCATTCCAATCAGTTTCCGTTGCAGTTGGCGTTATGATGCTTGACTTAAATTTGTCATCTAAAAACAGACGCAAAAATGCAAGAATTTCATAAATCACAATTGGGTTGCTGCTTTGGAAGTGCGAGCTTTTATGGTGGTTCACTAAGGGCTGCAATTTGATGCCAAAGAAGTGACTAATAGCTAGGTGAAATCATCAGTGTCACTTTAACAAGTAACTGAAATTTAATTGAAGTACTGACAAGTCATTTGCTTATGAACATAAAGTATTGGTTTTTGATCGCGGACATGGCAGCTCCAGATTTAGTTACATACACTCGGATGGAATTTAACACAAAATGCATTTATTAGATTGGCCAATCTTCCATTCATTGCACTTTTTACAAACCAACAATCAAAACAAATTATGATTTACATCATATGCAAAGCATACATCCAATAAACTGAAAGAAATGATGGAACAAACTGAAAAAAAAAAAAAAACTACAGCCGAACAACATCATCTGCGGCATATTGCCGTGACGTGTCCAGAACATTGCCACAAATCAAAAATGCTGTTTCAATTATCAAATGTGAGAAAATGTCAGATGATTTCACATAACATTGAAGCCATTCACCTAAGACGTCATAGAATTCTGCTTTTGGTGGATGTGTGGAGGCTTGGTCGCTGTCGATTTGGGGGTATACGACTCTTCATAGTTCTAATATCAGCGTGCTTGCACTCTGCGTGTGTGCACCGATGGGTAGACCGGTAGACAGTAAGGTGGATAGAGCCTAAAACGAATAACGCTTTCGATCAATTTCGTTTCGACACTTCCGCTTCGCGTGTTGACGGTAGTGGGTTGGGAATTAAACAATAACGTTGACGGAGCCTAAAACGAAGATGCAACGACAATGCCGATAAATTTCATTATGTAGAACGAACGATATCAATTTTGTGGGATTGAACGACCGCAATAGTCGGTTAAAATTGCCTTGTAAGGTCCTGTGAAGTTTACAAATTCTAAATGGGTATGTGGACCGGGTTAAGTGGTATCCATTTTTCATTTTTTTTTCAATTGCCCATCTGCCCACCTTCAACATCATTCATTTTAAGTGACCGTCATGCAAACTGTTAACAAACAATGTATAAGGAACAAAATTCTTTAGCGTAAAAACAATTTATAATAATTAACTAAGCTCATTTTTTATGGCCATTATTTGGAAAAAAAATAATATTTTAAATAGTGATTTTTAGGAGAATATGTATATGTGGTTAAAAAGTTTTTTTTTTTTTAATTTATATGTAAAATATTTTATAATATAAATGTGATTGAAAATCAGTATGTTAAAAAAAAAAAAGATTTTTTAAATAATGTTCGTGAACAGGCTAATATTAATTGAAAGCAAAAAGAAAAAAATTGAGAGTGTGTTTGGTAGATATTATTGAGAAAAAAAATGTATTTTAAATAGTCATATGATGAAAAATATGTGGTTAAAAAGTAAGAAAATGTTATTGATGTGATAGAAAATATTATTTTATTGAAGAATAACGTTGACGGAGCCTAATACGAAGATGCAACGACAATGCCGATAGATTTCATTATGTAGAACGAATGACATCAATTTTGTGGGATTGAACGACAGCAATAGTCGGTTAAAATCGTCTTTTAAGGTTCCGTGAAATTTATTTATTCTAAATGGGTATGTGGACCGGGTTAAGTGGTATCCATTTTTCATTTTTTTTTCAATTGCCCATCTGCCCACCTTCAACAT